AGTTAAATAATTATACATGTTCAGGACATAATGGGATCTTGTTAATTATTCTCTTCAATTTACACAGGCGAAAAAAATCGACACTTTCGATAGAATTACACTACTGCAGTGAACTTGGAGTTATGTTATTAAATATTTAAATGCTGAAAGAGTAAAAAGAATTAAATAATTTCAATTAAAATTTGCTTAAACGTTCTTATTTGTTTAGTTTTATAACTATTCGAATTACACATGGCGTCTATAAACTCGTACGATATATTTTTTAACAAATTCAAGTAAACGTGCCAAATAATAATTGGACAATATTTATTGCTATTGATATCTTTCTTGTTTATCCTAAAATATCGTCAGCTTACGTATATAAATTTTGGATATAATCGTACATGACCATTTGCTTTGATCCAGTGAATATCTAGTGTCGTGATTTTAAAAGCAGATTAATGAATAGCGATACCATTCTACTTAAATATATAAAAAGTAGAAATGGAGACATTTGAAATACTGAGCAGACTATGAGAAGATCACATATTAATACTATTCAATGTTTTATTGACAACAAACGATTTCAGGATATATATGAAGAACATTGTGTGGAACACAGAAACGCTCACTCTTCGCAGTCTGTACCGGAAGAGCAGCAATAAAACCTCACCATTATCACTGAAAAATCATTATTTTGCTCTTGGAGGGATACCTGAAGGACTTAACATTACTAAACGCACTGCTCACAAATTGTCATGGAATACCTTGAAAAAAGAAACGAATTTTTTAGCCCTTTACGATTTTATTGCATAACAAAGAAAAAATGCTATTCTGCATATCGTGATTTATCTTAATGCCTTGCTTATGATCCTGAGACAAAACACAGTCATTTTCTTGGATTGGAGAAGGTTCATCTTGGCTTTAAAAGTATAATAAAGATAATTCAAGTGATTTATATTAATTTAGAAGTCAAACAATAAAAATAAGCGTTATATTTTCAAATTTTCACAGGACTAGTTTCGATGGTTTTACCGAACCGTCATCCTCAGCTGCGAAAACACAAATTTGAAAATATAACGCTGATTTTTGTTGTTTGACTTCTAAATTAATATTTGTTCTGCGTGTTATTGTATCTTAATGCAAGTGACCAAGTGACTGTTTTGATCGAAAAGGAATCATTAACAATGAATTTATTTTTGAGGAACAAGTATACCGATTTAGAAACAGAATTCAACGCTATATACTGGAAATGCTCAGTCAAATAACTGGTTTCTGTTTCAGCATAATATATTGAAAAATCACATACTCTTTAAGCAGCTTCTAACAACGTGAAACCTTACAGTTTCTCAACTATACCGTGATTCACTAGATCTGGCTCTGAAGATTGCTTTCTCTGCCATAAAGTAAAGTCTCACCTTAAAGGCCATCTATTATTTTAATATCACTGAAGGCATTCAGAAAATCTGAGCCAGAGATTTATGCAATATTTCGAAAGATGGGATCTGTGAAGGAATCAAGCAGGACATATGAACGAGCAAAGCATTGTACAAGGATACAAAGAATAAACAAGATATATGAACGTGTCAAGCATTGCACAACCTATAAGGATTGAAAACGTAACGGTCAGAATGTTGTATTCAACTTTTAGCTGTGTACGAGCTTAATCCTAAAATCCGTTGACGCATTGTTATTCACCGTATATCTAAAAGATCACTTTTAACATTATCCTAAATATCTGGACATTTAATCATCTGCATTATTGTACAAAATGTGGAGCTAGTTCTCTCCTTTTAATGAATAATTTAACATCCTCAAGGCTGCTTTTCAACAATATATTTTAATGTGATATACAATCAGACGCTACTTAGGACAGAAATTCATTTTTGTTTATATAACTGGGAAAATAAATAAATTTCTGAAAATTAATGTTATTGATTATTTTATCAGAGTTTCTGAAAATTATTATTTCTTTAATTTCCTTCATTGGTATCAATCTGTGTATTGCTCATCCTGGGTTATCGTTTCAGAAGCAAGATACATAATTAAATGGCGTTTCATTTAAAAATATGATGGAAAACATTTTTTAAGCCTTGTATTGTTTGAAAATTTTAAGAATATAACCGTAGTTAACAGTACACAAGTTCTTTTTAAATATTTAATATAACTGAAAATGTTTACAAAATGTACAATGATTAAGATAAAGATCACAAACATGTAGAAACAGAGTCACAATCAGGAAATATTTATGCGCTTCTATTACCGTACGTTTGCGCATACATACTAAGCATTTTTAGCCTTGCTTCCAACTGAAATTTGATGGTCGAATTATATTTGAGTTCAAAAGTATTTACATGTACTAATTCGTTCACAAGAATGAAAAATATTAATAATAACATAATTTTAAAATGTTGTCTTCCACTTTACAATTAACATAGTTATCATTTCTTCTTCACTGGAATCGTCCTAGCGATTTCTTACAAAATATTGTTGATGATACATTTTTGAAGATCGATGTATTGTTCCCTGCATAACTTTCGAATGAATGTTGATTTGACACTTTCCTTCAGTTCGAATGGTAGCTCTAACTAAAGTCAAACGATTAGATGTTCGAAATTTAGAGATATATATTAGTCTCCAAATTGCGCCAGGATGTTGGCGATAATATGTAAGTACCGACGAAATAGAACCTGTTAATATTATCTTTGATAAATGTGTAAAATTACTTATAACAACTAAGGACAACATAAAATGTAAGCCCAAAGACGTGATTAAAAACAACTATTAATATGCAATAATTCTCATGAACATAGCAACTGAAAACACACTCATTCATCATCAAAGTTAACAAACACTATAAATAACATACATTTTTCAAACACTTTCAGTCATAATTGTTGTTGTCATCAATGTTCTGAAAATGTACCAATCAAAAATGAATAGCAGAAGAACACCACAAAGAAATACCGAATGACAATAACCAAACATTAACATATGCACAAACAATTAAAACAAATTCTCAGTGTTAAGAAGCCAAATGACGCAACCATAGTTACCACTAAAAACAAAATCTCCCACAATCTAAAAATTCAAAAGGAAACTAGGAAAATGTACACGAATATCTAGTCTTGGAATTTCAATAGAAATGAATCACCAAATTAAAGGAAGAAGTATCTGCAGTTTTAAATAGGAGTGCAGAAAAAAGTAAAGTAACAAGACAGTGTTTAGATAATAATCAAAATTTCTAAGAAGTATTTTTTAAAAAAATCCCAGAGAAAGGAAATCCAAAATGAGCAATTAGAAATATGCCAGCATCATTCTCAGCATCATTCAAAATTACTGATATGTCGTAATGGCTTAATAAAATGGATAGTTGATTGCACTCCTACGACATTAAAATTTTTGATGGGACGAAGACATTTCTTTACTGTTTGGACAGAACACCGCATGGAATTCTTCGAACTAAGGCAGAGGCTACAATTAGGAAGAATAACTCATTCTGCCAAAAACTGTTCACATAGGTTATACTGCGGTTTTCGTCATGAAAAATATAAAAAAACTATAAGGCCGAGAGAACATATTGCATAAATCGTAATCTTTATAACGACGCCAAAAACTATGACATAAATGTACATCATGCTGCATATGCACCCTAATGTCCAAAGTACTATCGACAAATTCAAAAAAATCAAACTTCGTACTGACTATGGAATTGGAAACTGAAATATAACAACACTGAATTTACAACCAAAAACAATGATTTTTTCCATACAACAACACATTTAAAGCAGTCAAACACCCCTGCATTGAAACTTATCTAAATTAGTTAACACAAAGCTGAGATTACAACAAATAATCTTCAATAATTCATAATCAGTAACCAAATTGGCTTAATACTTATCCAAAAGCCATACTGTTCCATACAAAAGCCACACTGTGGAAAATAAGTGCTAAATGAGTGAAAACTGGAAACTATACCAACATCAACAAAATAATCTCAGTTCTGTTAGAGAACTGAGATTCTATATTCAATGATAAAAACTGGTCACCATCAATATTCTGTAAGGTTTATGCTACTTTTTTAGCAGTTATCTTTAGTTAAAGCTATCTTCCTATTGCTCCTAATTTCAGCTTACAATTTCCTACCAGAATATGTTTTTAGAATCGTGGTTAATGCAAATAAGAGCTGTAGTTAAGTTGAAGTTCCACTGACTTCATTAGAAAACCAGAGATTCTGGACTAGCTTGCGTTCGCCTTTTGGATACACTCTCTACTATGCTCGGCCGTATTTCAATCCCTTGATAGCTTCGCCAGTCGAGCTTATATTTAGGGTCCAACTATTTAGAAATACAGTCGATTCCGGAATCCGACCACATCGGGAAGAGACAACTACTTAGAAAAACAATCGATTCCGGTTAATCTGACCACATCGGGAAGCGATCGTTTCCTTCCTAATAACCGGCTGGTCCGATTACATGAACGTGCCCTATGTTGTAAGACGGGACGTGCTTTATGTAGCAAGCAGTAAATGTACATGTAAATCGTGTACTAAAATGTAATTATGGCCTTTATTGTGCGGTGCACAAGTATGGCGAACATACAAGTGCAAACAAGAACTACAGTCGAACTTTTTTCATTGAGAAAACTAATTTAGAAACAAATTCTAAGACACGATCTCCACGATACTCAGCATGCGAAGCACAATAAAAACAAGTTCTTACCAAGTTCCAGTCAACATTTGAATAACTTGTCCCATGTGATAATGATGCGTCTTCTTGACGGATTGCACCTGAAAGAAATCGCCACAAACATCTAACGCAGCAATGGAACTGCATTCATTTCCCTCCTGCATGAAGTATCGATGCGAAGTTTCAGTGCATTTCCTCGCATTCTGTGTTTTGGTAACTTGCACCAATTTATTAGCGGCATCATCATCATCATCACCACTTTCTTGGTCTTCCAATGCTGTCATGTGTTTTGCTGCAACTCGAGCAACGATTGCAGCGTCGTAATATTCATTTTCATCGTAGCATTGTATATCGTTGTCGATTCATCTTTAAAACCAAGTGCTTAAAGCCACAGTGAGAAAAACAGTCTTTTGCCTCACTGCTCACTTTTTGCCAGCTGTCGGCTACAAATGTAACTGCTTGTAAGATGTTGACCTTTGCACTGGCTTCGCTGGCTTTTGACAATGAGGTCAGCCATCTTTCTTCAATTGCTTCAAAAATGTAATTAACCAATCTTACACGATAAAGGGTTTTCAAATTTTTGATGATGCCCATGTCCATTGGCTGGACCAAAGCTATCGTTCTTTGAGGTAGAAATTCCAGTTGGATGTTCTTCAAGCAATCTAAATGAGGATGTGCTGTACAATTGTCAAGAAGAAACTGCACGTTTCTCGACTGGCGTTGTAGCTCTCTGTTCCAATGCTTCAGCCAAATTTTAAAAAGTTCATAGGTCGTCCACGCATTTCTGTTCGCACGATACACAACTAGTAAACTGTCTATCCTAAAGAAGCGAGGTTCAGTGCTTTTTCCTATAACCAACAGCTTCCTCTTGTCCGTTCTTGACATGTTTGAGCAGTACAAGACATTTACTACTTTTTTGGAGCCAGAGAGTAACTTAACGAGCCGTCCGGTAAAACACGATAACACATCACAGTTTCATCAGCATTGTAGAATGTCGTCTGCTGAGAAATCTCAAGCAGCTTTGTTGATTTCTCTTCTTCAGCATCTGCACTATCAGCACTTTCTTTCTCGCCATGTGCCTTTTTGAATTTTATGTCATGTCTAGATTCCCATCGAAACAACCAACCGTCCGTACCTTTAAAGTCAACGTGGCCCAGCTTTTTAGCGAGTTCTTCTGCTTTGAATTTTAACATTGGGCCACTTACTTGCACATCTCATCCAGTAGCAATGGCAAAACTTTCATTAAAGGCCTTATCGACGTCTGCATCCTTGCCTTGACGCTTCCGTTTTTTGGAAGCTCCTCCTCGTCCTTCACATTGTGCCCATTCTTCTCGCAGCTTTTGTTTCATCAAGCGCGAAATTGTAGTCTTTGCCAATGCGGTAATTTCCACCAACCGACGCTGACTAGTGTTTCGCGCTTGTTGCTTGATCCTAGCCAGGAAGCAAATTTTTTCAGCTAACGTCAAGTCTCGTGGTGGCATTTTGGCAGGTTTGGTGACACTGTGCATTTGGTGACACTGTGCGTGTACAAGACACACGCACAGTTCACTGACTAAAGTGGTTTGAAGAAACCTTGGTGTTTCGGGGTGAGGGCGATAAAATGGTCGCCATTCAAAGCTTTGGCCCTAAGAATCATCCCCAAAGGTTGAGGAAATGATAGCTTTCTCGTGCAAACTTTAATCATGATTGACATGCGGAAATTCCTGTCAGGTGGAGACGGACACTCTATTGTTCATTTCCTCGGAGATCGGGGACGCAGTGGGACCAATAACCTCGCTAGAGGCTACTGGTAGCTCTGTTTTAAGAAAGGTAAAAGAAAATGGTGCGCGTGTTCACCTCCCACTGGTTTTGCTCTTGTCATGCACTTTAAGGAATTCCTAAGCTTTGATAAAGCATTCACCTGGAGAGCGCAGCTACAGATCCTCCCATATGTAGCGAACCACTTGTACGTCTTCTGTACGCGGCCGACTTGTTGCTTCTGTTTCTTATTGCCTCTCAGGTTTTTTTGTCCGATTAAAAGGAATTTTGGTCCAAATAAGCGAATAATATTAGGCTTAGGCATATAGGATTTGTTTCGGTTCTTTAGTATTCGGTCTGAAAAAGCGGCTGGTCCGATTATCCGGTGGTCCAATTAACCGGATTCGACTGTATTGATAGCTTCGGCTATATCCTTTTAGTTAAGTTTTATTTTTTATTGCTTTGACTTCAAGCTCAAGTGGAGGCTTTGCTGTACATTTTGAGAAAGGGACCATCTTTCAAATTCTTATTTTGAGAAATAAAGGGTAATTAATCCTTCTTGAGTTTTACGTATCAGTTTCTGAACTAAAGCGAATATTCGTTTACCTGTTCATGAGGTTCCTGTACACTTAGCTGTTAGATAAAGGTTGGAACCCCACAAATCGTCTAATCAAAAAACATCATTACAAGAGCTCTTAATTGAATAAAAGATCAATTCGTGAATAAAGTTCATCTAGTCATCACCCAATGAAAATATTTAAACCAAATTTTATTAATTTAAATCCATAATAAATACATTTCCTAACATCATTAATTTATTTGATCTCAATGCACACAATCAAATATGGTGATGCCAAAGAACAGGGATCCGAAGTTGAAGACTTTATTAATGGAAACAATCTAACTCTAATATATGAACACTCTGACCCTCCAAAACGTGAAACAAGAACAGAGAAAAATTGACCCGAGTGTCAGTAATGGTTTTGCAATCAAAACAAAAGAATAGGAAGTTCTAGAAAAAGAAGAAATCTCAGATCATATAATAATATATTTTGAAATAACCTTTAAATAGATACAAGAAAACAGTAAAACCAAAACGATTTACAGCAACGAACAATAGAATCACAATATTTATCACGTCAGTCATTCCAGATATAAATGCAACGACTATTCATCAAAAAGAGACTCAAATAGTAATAGATTACATAGCATGAAAAACACTCCATTTAAATCCCTTCTTACCTACCGTCATACTCAATACATTGCGAAAAAACATTCAAAGTTAAAAATCATCGTGGGATTAAAATATCTTAGAATCGAAAGAAATAAAACAAAGACATTAAAAAGAGAAATAAAAAAACCGTAAAAGAAAATGAAAGAAATAATGCCTATGAAATATATTCGAAGCAGTGAGCAATTTACACTTCAATAATTCAACTGCTTAAAATTTCAGTGTTAATTTCTAAGTTACAGTGCTAATTTCAACAGTAGCAAAATTCAACAGTCCTATCATTTGAAAAAGATCCATTTGGATCAATTTAGAAAGTTTCCACAAAAAATGTCTATAAATCTTTTCAAATCATAATTCTAAATACATTTATCTAAAGCAAAACATACAACGATAATAGCTATTTAAAGAAAATGTATGCATTATTTCTAAAAGATAACTTGGAAGAAGAGAGACAAAAAGACAAGACTATGTTTCTCCATGTACCAAAGATAACATTCCATGCACAGTATTTGAAATAACAAAAATAATACAACATTTCTGGAAATGCGTCTCCCGGCCCTGACGACATTGATAATCTAATACTAAGATTTTTCCATAAGTAGTTTCTTCAATTATTATTCAACTCTTTAACAAATATCTTCAATACAGGTCATTCTTTCGATGCTTCAAAATAGGACAAATATAAAATTAATTTTTAATAAAAATAGGATAAGATTTGGCTAATAATCCATCCTCATATAGACCAATAAATCTTCCGCTAAAATCAGAAGATTTTAGAAAGATTCCTAGCAAATCGTTTTAGATATCATCAAATAATCTTGAATTCGGATTTACACTAATAAAAGCACCATAAATGCAATCGATGAGGCACTAAAGCAGGTTGTTAATAATAAAATCTGTAGGCTTCCTACAGCATTAGTATGCTTAGACCTGAAAAAGGTTTTTGACTCTCTATAGTGGCCTGAGGTGTTGACTATACTCAAAGAAATTGAGTCTCTTAAGAACATATTTGAAATATTTCAAAGCTATTTCTCCAGTTGGAGGATCATTATTATTTAAAATAATTGAGTTATGAAGAGTATATAAAATAGATGTCCATATTGCTCCTGCCTCCGTGCGGATTTGGAATCTCACATTTAACAAAATAATTCAATATCAATGGACTTCACATACGCAATGTATTGCATTTGCAGTTGATGAAGAGTTTATAATTAATGGATGTTCTAATTAAAGGAGTAATTTTGGAAAACAATATCAATTTAACTTCGTAAAAATTTAATGAGCTCCTTAAAACTCTGAGACTCACAATATCACAAGAATAATCATATGATATTATTTTTCATAAGCCATCCTAAAAAATAACAAAATTTAAAAAAATCTTACAAAGGATAATATAATTCAAATATTGTAATCTATCAAATATCTGCTAATTTTGATAGATAAAAAACTAAATTTAATGGAAAATCTTCAAGGAAATCAAAAAGAAAATTTTAATATTTCGAGTAAGCTAAAAAAATTAGAAGTCATTGGATGGTCACCAAATAAACAAATACTAAAATTAAACTATGATGCAGTAATTTGGGGCTCACCCAACGACATTAAAAAAAAGCAACTACAGTCTATACCCAAGCTTTTCTCATTAACTATTTCAAAGGATATCAAATATATTCTAATGCTCTACAGTACCGGGTAATGAATATTATTACATTATTCATAACCGCAGGTCAAGAATCTACAAACTTTTGTAATTAAATAATAACTGCCAATTCCTATTCTTCCCCAGCACAGCCGTTCTTATATTAGGCATCCTATTTCATTTATAAAATATGGTAAATTTCCAGATGTTTTCCAAAACATATACACTGACTCATCTGGTATATATAACTGAAGAAGATGTGAAGTTGAAATACACAACATCTAGAATCACAAATTTTAAATACTAACTTGTCAAAGAAAAAATCGTTTTTTAACCAGAAATTTATACGATTCTTCAAGTTATCAGCCAAAGCATAACCAAACATGTCTCGGATACCTGTATCTCTGCTGACTGCTTATCTGAAAAGCGTGCCGTTTTAATTTAAGCAATAAAACATCCCCTGTTCAAGAAATTCTAGATTAACCTTTCAAAGCCCAAGGCTAACATTTTACATAATATGGATTAACCAAAATAGCAGCCCTAGGATTATCTGCTACAAAAATTTATATTCCGTGGCCGGCTCACACCTAAAATTAATATTACCAATTGCTACTAAATGTTTGTAGCCACAACTATGGGATACCAGCGAGATAAGAAGAGCCATCTATCACCAAAAATAGACGCTTCTCTTCCATATACTGCAAAATAATGACAGGGTTCATACCTGGGCATGGTCCCTTTCCCATGTATTTCTATGCAAGGAATATATCATCTACAAATTCTTGAGTATGTAGAAAAAGGGACAAATCAGAACACTATATTTTTTCACATACGCTAAGAAATTCATTACATTTAAAACAATTTAACCTAGAGTAGGAATTTTCACCTTTTCTAAGATTCCGAATGGAAAGATAAACATACAAGAAACAAAATTACAAACATGATGGACTTCCTAGCTTGTAGCGACGAAATCTTTTGCAATACAAGTTAATTACTACGAATTATTTTGGAAGTTAATTATCATCACAATGCACCATCTGAAGATGTCAGGTTCACCTTAATCATCATTGCGCTATCTGAAGATATCAGGGTCCCCTGAAAGGCTTACCCACTTACGTATGGTAAATGTCTCTACAAGTTTTCTTACCTACCTAATTATGTCTAATATCTAACTAATTATATTAGAAATGCGATACTTGATCCGTGTTAGATGACTAGATGAATTCATAGATAAATGAATGACTAAATGAATTCATATATTACTGACCAAATGAATATAGA